TCCTTCAATTTATGCTTCATTTCATCTTACAGCCTTCATACAGGAGAATAATTTTTTTTCTCTATAGCTGCTTAACAAAAGGAAATGTTTCTCCAAACTGCTGAAATTCCTTTCTTAAACAGAGGCAAACAGCAGATGGAAACTTCAAGATATTTGAAAAAGAACCTCCAAGTTTTGATTACTAAACAGATACAGATGCTCCAAAATGATATTTTGTGTGGCTAAAAATAGAAGTGTTCCTATCTTAAAGCTGTTTAAAATCATTTCTGAACCAAAGGAGCCTCATTAAGCTTGAGGATAATTGGCTGTAGTCTGTGGATAGCCTTGGTGTTGTGGTATCTGCTTACATTAGTACTAAGTTTCACCCAGAGCATGTTTGGAGTGTTGAGGACTATAAAAAGTTATAGTATATGAAATGCTACATTATGTCAATATCATACTGCTACAGCTTGTAAATTCACATTGATCTCTATAATAAAAGATGTTTACAGCACTAATGAACTCAATCAAGTGCATATTTGCTGATACATAAAAAAGTAACAAGCCATCTTGCTGGGCATTTGATTTCCAGGAGATAATCCCAGACAGTGCTCTGAAGATTAGAGGGAGAGGAGATAAGAAGCTGTGACAGGCTGGCAATATCTGTCTGAAACACCATCCCCTGTTAGCAGGTGTTGGTGCTGCTGGGAAGCTGGTGCATGGATTTTGCTAACATGCTGAGCAGATGGCTTATAAAAGAAATGGGTGTTGCTTTTTGAAGCAAAAATTATGTATGGCCTGAGAAGTATTGTAGCAAGAGTCCCAAGGGAATATAAAGTATAGGGATGGAAGTTGAGCTGAACCTTGCTTCTTCATTGGTAATGTTTTCTAGGCTGATGCTAGGAAATGGATGGTTTATGACAGCACAGATTGTGTTTGGACACGGCTTTATAGCAAGTGGGAAAATACACCTGTTTAGAAAAGTGTAATCATCTACTCAGTAAATATATTCTAAGATGAGTGTTGTGCAAACAGAAGAAAACACATATAGCTATTAGCTAATAAAAATAGATATTATTCCTATTACAAATCTATATGCTGATTCAGTTTCAAAGCTTCTGAACTTCAGGATTGTCCCATTTAATATTTTGAAGATCTTTTTGGCATTTGTGAGTACTAACAGTTGCACAAGGATAGAGCCTGTTTCAGCAGAAGGGGTAAAATGCAACTTCAAGTTTTCTGATCCACACCAGACTGTGCATTCTACTGCAGCTCTGTAAGCTGGCAGTGGAGTGAGCAGGAGAAACAGGTCTGCATTTCCAAGTCTATTTTGTGACTTTGTTCAAATACCAGTGTTCTTTAGAGAATTTAATTATCCTCTTTGTAATTTGAGGACATTGTATTTACTGACTTGGAGATGGATTATATACATCAGTACAGTGCTCATAATTATTCAGCGAATATGTTTGTAGTAACAGGAAGGGTGAAATAGGAACTGTGTTCAAGTAAATAATAATTCTTTCTCTTGAAGACAGAACTGATCAGATTGCCCTCACCATTTTTCAACTGTAACAATTAAAATTCATGAAGGAATCCAGAACTTCTGTATGGAAAAATTGGAAAAATCTAAGAAAATTCTTACAAATACGTACATTTCTGAGAAAACACTTTCTTCTTGATCTGTTTTTCTGTCTTTCCCGTTTGTTCATTTATGAAATTCATAAGATAATCTTCATTCTATGTAAAAGGTATTTTTTTATTACTATTTCTATTTACAATAATTATCTAGGCACATCTGTTCTCAAGTGCATCAATATACAATATTTAAACTAGCTCAATATTAAAAATATAACTCTATCTAATGCTCCTAATTAAGCATCTGTGTATTTAATACCTTGCTTTGGTTCCTTACTACATTTTGTAAGCTCTAATGTTTCAGCATGGAGGTAGCGAGTACCATTTACTCTCAGAGTGATTCAGAATGCAGATCGCATTAAAAAGAGTAAATCTGATCTGCTTCTGGGAAACAACAACTAAAAGCACATTCAGGAAGAGATTAATGCCTCCTGCCTCCCAGGAATGGAGAGGAGAAAAGTGTTTCTGCTGTGAGGCTCTGGCCTTTGCTGGGAAGATGTGTTCCCAGCTGAGAACAGCACCATTGGTACCAGCTCTCTGAAAAGAGGAAGCACTAGCTGCACCTGGAAGGGGAGGCTTATCCTAAAATCCTCCCAGGAGCCAAGCAGGCCACAACTCTATCCCAAACTTCAGGTTTGCCTGTGAATCATAAAGCAACAGCTGGGCATGCTCTCATCACAAAGTCCTTTGTGGTTTGCTGCTGTTCCCAAGCTCCAATGTCCTTTGCTCAGCAGAGGTGTGCACATGGCTTGGGGTGGAGAGGCTGTGGAATGTGGGCACACTGCTGAAACAAAGCAGGCAGGGGCTGCTGCACTCCCAGCCCGAGCTCTGACCCAGAGATAAGAGGCAGCCTTGGAAATGGCTTCATCTGCAGTCAGTGGCAGCATTCCAAATGAGTAACGGAAAGAGAATCAAACCTTTCCTCAGGAGCATCCTGGAACACAGCTTTGGCACAGCTTGACAATGATGACTGTTTACATGGGGACAAGCTTAGGTCCTGCTGCTTTAGCATGGGTTTTCTATCACTAAAATTCAGACCTGTTTCTGCAAACACACAAACAAGCATGGGAGCTTCTATCAGATTACATGCTTGTGGCTAGAAATTATATCTCTGATTTTTTTTCTTTTTTTTTTGACAAGCCCAACAAAGGTTTTACTGGCAAATAAATCATAATTTCAGCATATCAGTAGAAATCACAACATAGTTTGTCATCCAACCCAATGAAAAATACCATGTCTGTAGAAAGTAAATTCTTCAACTTTACAAGCTACAAATTGATACCACACATGAGAAAACAGTCTGATATCTCTCTAGGATTTCCTAAAGGATTTTTAATGTGTTTTTCTGTCCTTAACAATAATTTTAGCATTTGCAAGAAGCCCATCATCTGTTCCTATTAAAGTATCAGCTTACCTCAAAAGATGTTAAAAGAGAGTAAAAAACCCCTTAATGCTGATCAAGTTGCAATTAAATTTTCATTATCATTTAACATTATCAACTTTGTTTCAGTTCTTTCTGACCAAGAAATAGAAAACCTGAAACTAAGCTGCTGAACAGATTTATTTCTAACTGCCTTGAAGATGTAGTTGTAGACATTCTTAAGGAAGACCTTATTTTAGCCAAGAGATTGTGCAGAAAAGACTAGACTGGAATTGATTTTAAAGGTATGTAGTAGTGAGGAATGTGTGATGTAAGAATGTAATAGGATGAACAATGTAAGATCATTAATTAATTAACCATAAGTTGATAAGAGATTACCGCTAGTTCTATGACAAACATAATGCAGACAAAATAAAATGCCACGGTGACTTCCACTGCTTGTGAATTGGGCTCCTAACCTTGATAAATACAGAGGACACTGAGATACTTGACTAAATCTACTGAGATACTTGACTAAATTTCAGTTGAGGTTTTATGATTTATTCTGTAAGTATTCTTTTTTTGTCAAACTTTTTATTCTTCTGAAAAATTCCTAAAAAATTTTGTTTGGCAAGCGTTTCTCTATTTTTTCAATCTTTATTGCATTTATCTGATTAGGTCACGTGCCTTTATGAGAGGATGCAGTTTCAGGAAAAGCCCGAAATGGCTCTTTCAGAGTGGCAAACAGCGATGGTGCGCACGGGAGCAAAACATTTGGCTACGGTTCCAAGGGGAAGAGCAAAAAAACCTGTTTGGAGCCGCGGGCAAGGGGCACGGCTCTGTGGATGGGGCAGGTGCCGGGCCGTG